TTCTTTGTGGAGCAGGCTAAATCTAAAATAGAATCTTTTTCTAAAAAATCTTATATTATTAATGTTATTATTGACACACTGAGGAAGGCATTGTGTCGAAATGTTTTTTGTATAATGAAATGTGTTTTGTATATCTAAAAGAGTGTTTAAAAAAAACTGCACGAAGCCATTATTTAATGAGTGTGAATTATGATCTTCTGAATAATATTTATTAATAAAAAAAGTCTCGTCAATAAACTTGCCCTTTTCGTGATCTAACTCCTATTTTTCTCTCATTATAGACGTTGCTTTTTAAAAGAAGTTTTTTTTTTACTACATGTTCCAAATATGTGAAAAAACAACAACAAACAAAACCCCTTTTGTTCAAATATCTTCATGCTTCACAAACAAAAATTCACTTGACTTTTGAGTTAATGACAACTTTTTTTTACGTATCCTAAACCTTCGACAACCTATACAGCTCCTATACCAAGTGAACAAGCATTGAAAAGCATTCTTGTTAAAGTTTGCATAGCTCGGGTGCACTTTGAACCCATCATGCACCTTGACTCGCAGTGAAAGGGATTTGAGAGAATCAGCTGTGGGCTTCGCTCAAGCTGAGGAATGTGTCCCAGGTACTTGTTTACAACTTTCTGCCATCTTACTTTCCTGGCTACAGGCAAACCTGTTACACCACACAAAGGGGGGAAAATATGCAGACTGATTGCTATCATCTTTCCATTTCTGTGCACGCTGTAAATAACTGAAAATCCAAAGGCGGAAAAGAAAGAAACAAAAAACACCCAGTGTACCATCAATGAACATACCAAACCTTAAGCCAGTGGAGCTTGAAAATGCTCAAATATAATCTTAAGCATTCCTGCACAGATTTTGTATTAAAGTCCAAAGGGGGACTTATGTGGTAAAGCCTGCACTGATCATGGGTGAAACAAAGCAGGATTTCATCACTGAGAATATGAAATGAAGCCTAAATTCATCCATTTTAGATGGTTTTTTAATGCTTGATTTGAGCTATATTATAAAACCAAGATAATTTAAAGGGATAGTTCCCTAATTCCCACCATTTACTCACACCCAAGTGGTTGCTATATGGATTTCTTTCTTCTGCTGAACACAAAACAAAATATTATTTGAAAAAAAGACTTTTTTATTTTTATTTTATTTTTTTTATTTAAAGATTCAACAGTTGTTCAACAGAAGAAAGAAAATCCAAAAAGGTGAAAGACAAGTGATGACAGAACTTAGTTTTGCCAAAAATGACATTTTACTCAGTCACAGGACACGTGAGATGCAAATGTCAATTGTTTTTTAACAATAGAATATTAAGAATGATTTCATCTGAAATCCTGGTGGGTGTTTCCTAAAATGCAAAGTAATGGCTACCAGCTCTTTGAAAGTCAGAAAAAACAAAATGAATAAATAAAATGAATACAGATAGCTTCTTAAGACTTATGAAGTGAAACAATCAGTCTGTGCAAGAAACTGATCATCATTTCCATTACATGTTTAATCCAAAAAACATTCCTGAGCACATTCACGACAGTCTGAACTTCCTGTCGCATTATAAGGCATCAAGAGTGTCAAAGTCATCACAAATGACCTGACATTTAGGGCCTATTATACACCCGTCGCAATGTGGCGCAAGGCGCGACGCAATTGTTTGCTAGTTTCAGCTTGGCGCAAGAGTCGTTTTGCGCTACGCTGTTTAAATAGCAAATGCATTTGCGCTCATATGTGCGCCCATAGGCGTTCTAGTCTATAAAAGGAGGCGTGTTGAGGCGCACTGCTGGCCCACTAATTTGAGAAACTATAAGAGTCTGTTCAATAGACTAGAACAAAGCTGGTCTAAATTCCATCGCAGAGCATGTTAGTTATGCACCTCACTTACACACTACTTGTGTGATTTTAAATGCTTAAAAAAATGGCCACTACTAGGGCTGTACAATATATGGTTTCAGCATCGATATCGCAATGTGTGCATAAGCAATAGTGACATTGCAAGATATGCAATGTTGTGTTGGAGTTATAGTTAAGCAAGAGCTGCAGTACACATGGTATTTAAGGTCACTGCTAGGGCTGTGCAATTTGGGGAAAATATCTAATTGTGTTTTTTGACAGATATTGCTAGTTGATTTACAATTTACATTTAGCTGACGCTTTTATCCAAAGCGACTTACAAATGAAAACAAGGAAGCAATTTACACAACTATAAGAGCAACAATGAATAAGTGCTATAGGCAAGTTTCAGGTCTGTACAGTCTAAGAAGGAAAGTATTAGTAATTTTTTTTAGTAATTCAGTAATTTTTTTTTTTTTTGTAATTTCTTAGTAAAATTTTAGTAAATTTTTTTTTTTTTTTTTTTTGAGTACAGTTAGTGGTATATCCAGAGAGGCAATTGCAGATTAGGAAGTGAAGACTTCACTTTAAATTCACTTGAATTGAGACTTCAATTTAATTCAAGCTCCAATCTGATTTTAATTTAATTTAAGCTTCAGCTCAATAATATGGAAGCTGTGGCAACAATTCTGCAACCGCTCTAAACAATGACCTCTTTTTTTGGTGTGTTACTTTGAAACCAAAATATTCCCTTATTACAAATGCTTTTTTATTTAATTAATTTGTCTATTAATGCTTCTGAAGCAGCAGATGGCATAATGCCACTTGTCAGCGCTTTCTTGTTCGTTTTCTTTTTTTTTTTTTTTGTAGGTGTAGTTCATAAGTTGCATAATTGCATAATTCTGATTTGGCAGAATGAAAGTGTGCTCACTCAATTGGCTAGCTATAGAGCCTGGTCAGATCACATGATTTCGGCACGATTTCCTTGACGTAGGGTTTCATGGGGAGTTGTAAAAAACAAATGGACGTCGTGACACAAGACTAAATCGTTTCTTCTCGTGTAATGTGGCAAAGTTTCACAAAACCGATACCATGTCTGCGATGCCTCACGACACCATCGCAGAAAGTCTAGCATGTTTAATTTTTGAAGCATATCGGACTGGTTCTGAAGACCTTATTCGTTATTTTTGTTTACATATATACATATATGTATACATATATATTTTTTTTACATTGCAGCCTCTTGCGAATAACTAATCACAATGTTTCAAATTGCGATTCGATTTCGATTTAATCGTACAGCCCTAGTCACTGCTAAGTTTCACCAATATAGAGTAAAAGTTTATCATTTGCATGTGTTTTTAAAACCTGTGACTGTGAGCATTACAAGAGTTTAAAACTTTGCGCACAAGAAATAATGCTGTTGGAGGTGTAACAAAGATCATTTGTAATTCATTATTTATGCGATTTTATGCAAGGTTCCTACTTGTAATTTTTGTCTTATTTCTAGTCCAAATGTCTACATTTCAAAGCAAAAATAAGATTATTCTACTTGCCCCATTTACAGATAAATCAGCTTGTTTTAGTGATTTTTTATTAGTATTTTTTTCTGAAGGTGAAAACAAAACAATATTTTAAATTGATCAAAGATTTTTAGATATTTGGACTAGAAACAAGACAAAGTAAGAAAAACATTTTTTTAGCATTCCGGTTATTCAATTTCTGTATTTGACTCCCAAGAAAAATGTAAAATAATACTATTCTAAACATCTTGTGAAAAAGCATTCATATCGCAATATTTATCAGAGAAAAATTAAATATCGTTATATTTTTCCTAATATTGTGCAGCCCTTGCCATTACCCAAAATGTAAAACTACACTAACTGTGTTTGTCTGACAAAAGAAAAACATATTTACAGATGATGACTTGAAGTTGAGGGTGAGGAAAAACCATGAAAAAGTTGGTTTTATATTTGCATATTCGTTCAGTGACAACTTGTGATATGCTCCCTATACTGTTTACCATGTGTACTTTGATTATTCAGTATAAAATCGCATGTACAATTGAAGTCAGAATTATTAGCCCCCTTGTTTATTTTTTCCTCAATTTCTGTTTAACAGACAGAATATTTTTTGTCAACACATTTCTAATCATAATAGTTTTAATAACTCTTTTTCTGATAGCTGATTTATTTTATCTTTGCCATGATGACAGTAAATAATATTGTACTAGATATTTTTCAAGACACTTCTATACAGCTTAAAGACATTTAAATGCTTAACTGGGTTAATAAGGTTAACTATGCAGGTTGGGTAAATAGCAAAAGATATAGTTAAATAATGGTGTTCTGTAGACTATTAAAAACACAAATAGCTCAAAAGGGGCTAATCATTTTGACCTTAAAATGGCTTTCAAAAAATTAAAAACAGCTTTTATTCTAGCTGAAATCAAACAAATCAGACTTTCTCCAGAAGTAAAAAAACATCAGAAAAACTTTGAAAATGTCCTTGCTCTATTAAACATCCTTTAGGAAACATAAAAAAAAGAAATAAAAATTTAAAGGGGGGCAAATAATTCTGACTTTAGCACCATTTAACTGACTCTGAACAGTGTTGTGCTTTGATAGTCATTGGCTGCTAATATGATTTCCCTATTCAGAATTTGCAAACAATAATTTTCTGAAATTATATTAATCAAGGAGAAACTCAGCGTGTGCAAATATAAAACCAACTTTACCTCAATTACACCATGGGTGTATTTTTAAATTTTGGGTGAACAATTTGAATACATTTTTGTGAATATGTTTCTTTTTGTTTGTTTGTTTTTTGCACAGACGTGTTTTCACTTTAAAAAAAAAAACTTTGTCATAAATATTAGTTTAGTTTTGACTGTTTATGTTTTCATGACAAGTCATGACTTTCCCAATAACAACAGTTTCGGCTAAAGCTTTTCTTTATTACTCCAAATTAAAAAGTAATCTACATCTTGTTCAGTCAGAGGCTGCGTTAAAAGCAAATGTTCATTTTAAGGAGACCTCCTCTCTCTTTAAATAAGAACACATTGACCGATTCACAGCTGTACACATGAGTAATGAACACAGCATGTTTCTGTATACTGAGTAAGCAAGTTTATATTCCCAGAACGAGCAGTACTCATCACATACCTATCCCTTGGGTCAATCCAACTGGTGGTTTGATTAATATGGTCTATATAATAGACCTTCCCGTCAAAATCTCGGGCCTCTTCCCAACCCTCTGGCAATGGTAACTCCTTCCTTGGCATGACCAACACTTAGTCTCCATGTAATTTTCTCTGCAAGTCTTCTAAAATGATTGGTAAGCAAACCATGTGTTGCTTTGCTTGGACTGGTCCAAATAAGTTAACTCCAAAGCGTAAGAAAAGTGCCATTAATTAACCACAGGTAGAGATGTATTCCGGATTATCCATGGTAATGTTTTCCTATATTCCAATAGAGTTCGTGCAGCCTATATACAGAGCATTGCGTTCACGCTGTTAACTTATATGAATGGATGAGAGGGTGATGCTCTGAATCGCGTAACTTTGCCGAAGGAGTTGTGCTTTTTGTAAGAAACTCCTCGTTTCTTGTGCATTCTCAGTTAAGTACGTACTACATCAATCAATCATATTTTTTCACCCACGGAACTTGGATGGTTAACGTCAAAAATGAAGGAAAAAAACTTTCAAAGGTCGTGCGCGAGTTTTCAACATGGACAAAAAACTATTTTAAAGTCCAAAAATAATCTTCCAAACATAACACATAGAAACCGAGTAATTTTTCCAGCATACTCCGGGAATAGTTGAGTGAGTCTGGAAGGTTTTTCGCTCAGTGTCTGCCCACCATGTTTTAGCGACAACTATGCTAGCCTGTTAGCCCCAAAAGCTCGTTGTACAGCAACGCAAACTGTTAGACACGCCACACAAACGTATTCCGTATCCTGTCGTTTGGCCGATGCATTCCTGTTACGTCCAGAGGATTTTCGTAGATTTCTGTAAAAAGTGGCGCGTTTCTTTCTCATTTGTTTCCAAATGTTGTGTTTTCCTTTAAGTGGCTGTGTGCGGTTCTCCCCCGTAGTCAAGCTCGGTCGCTATGCTGCGGTTGGAATGGATTACGTCATACAGGTGACGGCCGTAGCTCTTCTAGTAGCTGTCCAGTTAAAAAGAAGGTGAAGTATTTAGGAATAGATATCACAAAAAGTTTATCAGAGACAAGATTTCTGTCTCTTGCCTTTGATTGTAATTAATTAATTTTAATCTGTTTTATATATTTTGCTTAATTTTTATATATAGGTATAGATTTTGTTTGCTGGTTGTTTTGTAAAGCACTTTGGTCAACATCTGTTGTTTTTAAATGTGCTCTATAAATAAAGCGAACAAACAAACAAACAAATTTATAAAAGCTCAAGGTATATTAAATAACTGGCTTCAAAAGGATTTATCTATTATTGGCAGAGTTTTGTTGACAAAACAAAGAGATTTGTTTTCTAGATTTGTTTACACGACTTTATCTCTTTTTGTTCAAGACGCTATTTGTAAAAAAAAATATATATATATATATATATATATATATATATATATATATATATATATATATATATATATATATATATATGTCTTTATACAATTTTTTTTTTTGGAGAAATAAGCATCCTCATTTAAGAAAGGAAATTCTTCAAGGTCCAAGTACAAGATGGAGGATTTGAACTTTTGGATTTTTTTTTTTTATTTAAATGATACATTAAATAATAAAGTTAAATGGCTCAGGAATTGTTTATTGAAATCAGATTCATTTTGGTTTTTTATTCCACATAATATTTTCAAAAAGGTTGGAGGTTTTTACTATCATGTGACTACTCTGTTAATAAACTACCTGTCCAATTTTTATCAACAAGCTCTTAAAGCGTGGAAGTTGTGGTATGTGCACACTTTTTTTTAAACAGAGCCTTAAAACCTAGAGGAAAATGTTTTTGGAATGTTTGTTTTGAAGATATTGTGTGGGGAAAAGCTTGGTTGCTTCCTTTTCACTTCTGCATAAGTAATAAACACAGGCAACTACATTTAAAAATACTTCACAACATTAATGTTAGCAATTAAACAATATCGAAATTTATGCAGACTGATGAAAATTGCTCATTCTGTTTAAATCTTTGGTTCGTCTTTTTTTATGATTGTCAATGTTTTAAGAACTTTTGGGAAAACTTGTCCCCCCACCACCCAAAAAAATAAAAAAATAAAAAAATCAGGTTTTAGATGTAATTTGACCCCCAAATATGTTAAATTTTATTTTGTCTCAAACTATTTATCTGTGGAATTCATAATGGATCTTTTGATTTTATTTTGTAAATTTCATGTTCATAAATGTAGATTTAATAACTCTAAACCTTGTTTTAAGGTTTCCATAATAAATTTTCATTTGTATATAGACTCAATCCAGTATATTAATAGCAAGAAATGTCAAGATACAGTTATAGTTGCAAAGGAGCTGAAGTTAATTGAATAGCAAACCTGCTGTCAATTGGGTAGGTTAAATCATAACATAACTGTAAGGGTTTCTATGTTGAAGTTGTCTTTTTATTTATTTTGATTGTGTAATTTATATTTTAGTTTATTTTATTACATTTGTATTTTTTGGATGTCATATTTAAATTGTATATTTGCTGTTGTTTAAATGCATTTAAAAAAATCTAGTAGCTGTGCAAAACATTCATGATAAAGAATAGTAATAATAAGCATAATTGGGTCATTAAAAGTGCATTTGATGTCCCACAAGATTAAATCAGTCCTTTATGAACATAATGTGAAATTATGAAATTCTGATGTTTTGAAATAACAGGTTAAACCTTTACACACATGCAGGTAGAATTATAAGTGCTTTGAAATATGTTTTTGTCAATTTTTGCCATATTCTTTCATTGAATGGATATGATTTTGCCATGTCCCGCACACTGCTCAGCCAACTTTAGCAAGTCTAATAAGTAGCTAAATGAGATCAAATCAAGTTATTTGATCAAGTCATTTTAATAACTTTTATTTTGTTTTTTTCACAATATTCTTAATCATCTGCACGTGTCCTTGTGTTTGCTGTCAATGCCCCTTTAACAAACCCCATGACCATTTTGCTTTCCTTCAAAGGAGGTTAAAACATCTGCTGTGCACACATTAAGTATCTACACTTATGTTTTTCTATTTTTCTCATATTGTGTTTGAAACTGAATGTTGTCAAGCTTAACATGTCCAATCTGTCATAGTGAAATAATGATTAATATTTTAAAAATTCAGAAATTCAAAATATAGCTTTTAAACTGTGTACAAAGAGCTTTATTTATTTATTTATTTATTTGTTTGTTCATTTATTGCACTAACAACAGGCCATTACAACAAATAGAAATACAACAACTGATAGAAGTATAGTACAAGCAATACAAATATCACTTTTTTGCAACAAGACAAATGTAATAGTTATTAAATAAATGTAAAAAGTAAAGTAAAAGAAAGACAAAGAGAGAAAAAAAGAAACAAGAAAAAAATAAGGGCACATGAGAAAAATAAAAGAAATTAATGCAGAATATTAAATAAAGCACTAGAGTCTGTGATGGTTTTTAAATACAGTTCCAATTCACGTTTAAAGAATAAAAAACTTGGCTTACATTGAGTATATTTGCATTTGTGTATAAAAAAACTTTTCAATAAATAAAAGTACAAAGAGCTTAAATAGGGAAACACTTTGTCAGCTGCAGGTACAACCTGTGTTAAATAGACGCAATCTTTAGCCAAAATATCCTCCCTGACATTGTCCATCATCACAAATCGTTCCTTGACAGGGTGGGCTCATGCATCATTATTGACACTATTTATTTATTTCATATTTTATTGTTAATAAGTTAATGTTTCTATGTTACAACACTTTTGCACATACACATACTACACCAGTAGATGTAATACATGAGTGGACAGTACAATTTTTTTGGCAACATCTGTCTCAGTCTATATAAAGGATGTCCTTTTATAATGTCCATATGGAGCTCATTGACTGTTTGAAATAGAAATACAGCCCTAAGTATTTAAACATCTGTAATCTAATTATTCACCTTATTCTGAAAAAAAAAAAAAAAACAGTATTATTGAGGGGTTTAACTTGAGTCACTTCCACTGTTCACTTCTCTAATATGACATACAATGTAAAGATTTACATTCATTAGTAAATTAGTTTATCTGAAGAACAATATATATTTTTTTCTTATTCAGGCTCGAACCAATGACCTTCTTGCCATGAGGCGAGAGCGCTACTTACTGCACCACCGCATCGCCCCATTATTATTATTATTATTATTAGCAATTATTTTGAATTTTATTATTATTTTTGGTATTATGTCTTTATTTTTATTTTCTCTACTACTTTTCCCCCCGGGCTTCCACTATGTTTTTTTCTATATTCTCTAATGTAGTATAATATTGTAATTGTTACCATCCATATTCTAAACCGAAAAAGAAAATGAATAAATGAATGAAGCATTATGTAAATTAAATTGGTTAAATAAAAGTCTTCTTTTTAATCCTGACAACTGTTTACCTTCCTATCTTAATGTATAATTAATATACTAATTCTCTTTATTGAAATGTTTGTGTTCATTTGAAAAATAGAGAAAGTAGCAGAGTACACAACATTATCAGATATATATTGATATATAGTCATATTTACATTTATTATATTTTCACATTTTGGAGTAAGCCCCTGATGATTTATGTATATACACTGCAAAAAATGCTTTTCTTGCTTAGATTTTTTGTCTTGTTTCTAGTCTAAATATCTAAAATTTCTTATATCAAGAAACATTTTCTAGACAAGCAAAACATATTATCCTGTTTTGAGAAATAATATACCAATATCAAGTGAGTTTTTCCTTAAAACAAGCAAAATAATCTGCCAATGGGGTAAGCAAAATAATCTTGTTTTTCTTTTGACGTAAGATTATTTTGCTTACCCCATTGGCAGATTATTTTGCTTGATTTAAGGAAAAACTCACTTAATATTGGCAAATTATTTCTCAAAACAAGACAATATGTTTTGCTTGTCTAGAATATTCTTCTTGATTTAGGAATTTTTAGATATTTGGACTAGAAACAAGACAACAAATCTACATAAGAAAAGCATTTTTTGCAGTGTAAGAGAATGAATGTTAGAAGTTTAATTTAGTTTTAAAAATGTGTAACTATTTGCTAAATAAATAAATGTATTTATTTATGACAATAGATTATATTTAGTTTATATTGGATTTATTACTTTCTGAGGCGACGAGGTGGTGCAATGCGTAGCGCTCTCACCTCACAGCAAGAAAGTCGTTGGTTCGAGCCTCAGCCGGGTCAGTTGGCATTTCTGTGTGGATTTTGGATGTTCTCCCCGTGTTCGCGTGGGTTTCCTCCGGGTACTCCGGTTTCCCCGACAAGCGCTATAGGTGAATTGGGTAGGCTAAATTGTCTAGTGTGTATGTGTGTGAATGAGAATGTATGGGTGTTTCACAGTGATGGGTTGCAGCTGTAAGGACATCCGCTGCGTAAAACATATGCTGGATAAGTTGGCGATTCATTCCACTGTGGCGACCCCTGATTTATAAAGGGACTGAGCCGAAAAGAAAATGAATGAATGAATCACTTTTTGAAAGTGGTTTGATACATATGGGAAACTCATATGAGTAAAAATAGTTCTGTTAGTCATAATAATGAGCAATTTTTCATAATTAGTGTCTCATTATAATGAGGAATATATAATAACAAGGAACTTTCTCACTGTAATGACTTAACATTTGATGTAATTAACTTATTATTATGATAAATCTTCTCATTGTCATTTTGAGAAGTTATTAAGAAAATCTTTTATATGAATGCTTCTCATCATAGTGACTGTCATAATTATTGGACACTTTCTACTAATTTGGTTTACAAAATTATTTTAATATTCAAATGTAGAAGAAGCAGGCTGTCATGGATAAGACCTTACTTTAGAAAAAAATATTCATTCATTCATTTATTTTCCTTCAGCGTTTTTGATTTATCAGAGGTCACTACAGTGTAATAAACCACCACCTATTCCAGTATGTTTTTATGCAATGGATGCCTTTCCGGCTGCAACCCATCACTGGGAAACACTCATACACTTTTGCATTCACACACACTCAGATGGCCAATTTAGGAGTTCATCCAATTCACCTATACCGCATGTCTTTGGACTTTGGGAGGAACTTGAGGAAAGAGAGAAAATGCAAGCTCCTTACCGAAATGCCATCTGTCCCAGCAGAGACTCAAACGAGCAACCTTCTTGCTGTGTGGCGACAGTGCTAACCACTGAGACACAGTGCCACCTTTAGAAAAATTAACTTTAGAGAAAAAAGATTTGTTGTTTCTGAATGACCAAATTTGCATTATACAATACACAAATCACAATGTAAAATGTTTAAAATATACTAAACAATTATTATTATTACTAACTGAAAAAAAAGAAAGAAATTTCATTTTTGACTTGACTGTAAAATGCTCAACATAAATCCAATGACTGCAGCATTGACAACAATCATTTGTTATAATTTCTATGAATACAAATTAAATAAAAATTTGCATAAAAATTCCAAAAATCCTAAAAGATTTTTTAAATCATAAAGTTCTTAAGAAAAAGTCCAAAGTATTTATTGTAATAAGAAAGTATTATTAAAATTATTATTATTATCATTCGTTTTCTTTTCAGCTTAGTCCCTTTATTAATCTGGGGTCGCCACAGCGGAATGAACCATCAACTTATCAAGCACATGTTTATACAGCGGATGCCCTTCCAGCTGCAACCCAATCACTGGGAAACACCCATACACTTATACACTACGGACAATTTAGCTTACCCAATTCACCTATAGCACATGTCTTTGGACTATGGGGGAATCTGGAGCACCCAGGGAAAACCCACGCGAACACTGGGAGAACATGCAAACTCGACACAGAAATGATAACTAGCATTTGAGTTTGCATGTTCTCCCCATGTTGGCACAGGTTTCCTCTGGATGGCCTACAGTCCAAAGACATGCGGTACAGGTGAATTAGATAAAATTGACCGTAATGCATGTGTGTGAGTGATTGTTTCCCAGTGATGGGTTGCAGCTGGAAGGGCATCCCCTGCGTAAAACACTTGCTGAATAGGTTGCCGGTTCATTCCACTGTGGCGACCCCTGATTGATAAAGGGACTAAACCGAAGAGAAAATGAACGAAATGTATTACAGAATATTTTTGTGCAAATACTGTACTTTTTCAGAAGTACTGTATTAATTTACTGTGTTTCTCATTTATTTACTATTCTATTATTTGTTTTTATTTCATTTGTATTTTTATTCTAATTAAATCGAGTATTAAGTGTGAATCAATTATCAATAAATTTCCTTTTATTATTTTTTTACATATATTTTATACAGGCCTATCTTGCAGTAATAGTCCTAATGTTGCAATCATGTCTCTTTTTCTCCTTTTAATACTAAAGATACTAAATATTAACAGTTCTCAACGATTATATTGACCTCCATAGCGCTGGCTTCAACATCAATAAAGGTGAAAAAACACAATTTTCCCAAATCTCAACTAAACAGCGCCCTCCACCGGCTATCAGGAGACACATTTCTGCAATGCTATTCTGTCACTTTTCTTTTCTTTTTTATTGCATAACCGTCAGAAACAAACATACAACAAAATAAAAAGATAAAACATAAAAACGAATATAACAATGGTAAAAAAAAAAAATATATATATATAAATAAGTAAAAATAACAAATTAAATTAAATACATAAAGCATAGTGTAGAGCATTTCTACATGACTTTAAGAATTGACAGGGGAATCAAAAAAAGTGTTTTAATCATCGATACATATCTCAGATTTTTTTGCTTTTCAACAATTTCACAAAATATAGAGGTCAAACTCGATACAAAAAACTGTTATTGAGGGAGATGATTTAGCAAATTTCTGTTTGTATATGTAAAAAAATTAGCAAATAAAATAAAGAGATTAACAATATATTCAAGACTTTTGTTGGATTTGTTTTCATAATAAAAATAATATATTTATTGTAAAATAATAACGATTTGGCTAATTCCTTCCAGAAATTGTTTACCTGGTTGCATTCAAAAAATAAATGATGAAGGCTCTCTTTGTACACATTGCAGAAACCACAAATATTCTCCATTTCTATGTACTTTGATAATGACAATTTTACTGGGTAAATTGCATGTAGTATTTTAAAATGAATATCCTTAATTTTACTATTAATAGTGTTTGAAGGGAGTTAACCAGGCTCTTTTCCAATTGATGTTAACTATAATAGAGTTCCAAAAAAAATTTGCACTAGGAGTAATTTTATTTTGCTTCTGAAAAATATCACGAATACAGTGCATCCGGAAAATATTTATAGCGCCTCACTTTTTCCACTTTTTTATGTTACAGCCTTATTTTTAAATGGATTAAATGCATTTTCCCCTCAAAATTCTACACTTTGTACCCCATAATGACTGTGATTTTTTTTTTAATTGTTGCCATTTTATTACAAATAAAAACCCTGAAAAATCACATGTACATCAGTATTCACAGCCTTTGCTCAATACTTTGTTTATTGGCAGCAATTACAGCTTCAAGTCTTTTTGAATATGATGCCTTAAGCTTGGCACACCTGTCTTTGGGAATTCTTGCCCATTCCTCTTTGCAGTACCTCTCAAGCTCCAACATGTTGGATGGGAATCGACGGTGTACAGCCATTTTCAGATCTCTTAAGAGATGTTCAATAGGATTTAGGTCTGGGCTCTGGCTGGGCCACTCAAGGACATTCACCGAGGTGTTGTGAAGCCACTGCTTTGATATTTTGGCGGTGTGCTTTGGGTCATTGTCCTGCTGGAAGATGAACCGTTGCCCCACTCTGAAGCAGGTTTTCATTCAGGATGTCTCTGTACATTGCTGCATTCATCTTTCCCTCTATCCTGACTAGTCTTCCAGTTCCTGCTGCTGAAAAACATCCCCACAGCATGATGCTGCCACTATCATGCTTCACTGTAGGGATGGTATTATCCTGGTGATGAGTGATGGCTGGTTTTCTCAAAAACATAACGCCTGGCATTCACTCCAAAGAGTTCAATTTTAGTCTCATCAGACCAGAGAATTTTTTTCTTTTGGTCTAAGAGTCCTTCAGATGCCTTTTGGCAAACTCCAGGCAGGAGTGGCTTCTGTCTGGCCACTCTATACAGGCCTGATTAGGGGATTGCTGCACAGATGGTTGTCCTTAAGGTTCTCCTCTCTCCACAAAAGAACGCTAACAGACAGAGTGACCATCGGGCTATTGATCACCTCCCTGACTTACGCCCTTCTCCTCTGATCACTCAGCTTAGATGGCCGGCCAGCTCTAGGAAGAGTCCTGGTGGATCCAAACATCTTCCACTTACGGATGATGAAGGCCACTGTGCTCATTGGAACTTTCAGAGCAGCAGAAATGTTTCTGTAACTTTACCCAGCCTTGTACCTCGAGACAATCCTGTCTTGGAGGTCTACAGACGATTCCTTTGTCTTCATGCTTGGTTTGTGCTTTGGCATGCACTGTCAACCCTGGGACCTTATATAGACAGGTGTATGCCTTTTATATTTATGTCCAATCAACTGAATTTAGCACAGGTGAACTCTAATTAAGCTGCTGAAACATCTCAAGAATGATCAGTGGAAACAGAATGTACCTGAGCTCAATTTAGAGCTTCACGGAAAAGGCTGAGAATACTGATGCACATGTGATTTTACAGGTTTTTATTTTTAATAAATTAAAAATATATATTTTTTTCACTTTGTCATAATGGGGTATTGTGTGTAGAATCTTGAGAAAATAAAAACATTTAATCCATTTTAGAATAAGGCTGTAACAAAAAAAGTGGAAAAAGTGAAGCGCTATGAATACTTTCCGGATGCAGTGCATATTTGTCAGTACTTTTTTTATAAGTCAGCTCAACACCTTCTCCAATGTAATTTTGGGTTTACAACAGATAGAGAATTACAGCAAATATGATTTTTAATTTTCCTTTTCCTTTCTTTTTATAGAGATTTCAATGTGGTCATGTTATTGGCCCATAAACATTTCCTGCTTGTTATCAAACTATTTCATAACAGTAACAAAGGACAATTCAATCATAACTTACTGTTAAAACAGCTAAGCATAGCATTATTCATTAATATGTGGCTCCTTTTGGATTCTCGGAAGCTATAGAAATAAAAAAATGTAAAACAGGACATACTTTGGAACCACTGTTTTAGTTTACATCCCTCAAAATGGTCTGTATTTTATTTATTTAGGCCTGTTGGAAGTAACCTTATATATTGGCAGCATGTTTTTTCTTTTTATTAGTAAAAAAAAATACAAATTTTAAAACATTAAATAACAGTTGTAATGATTAAATAATAAATATAAATAAAACAAGTAATAAATCTGAATAAACTGTACATTTAACAATCAGCATCTATGGATAAAACAATAAAAATAAATAATAATCAGTAGATACAAATAATGATAATCAGATTATTTACATTTCTGTCTCTCTCTCAAAATTTGTTTATGAACCAAAAATGTCTCTTAGTAGCCTATACATCTTAGTTTTTAGTGCTTGGCATTCAAAATCAAATAGGCTACAATTTATCGCCAGTAAAGTTCAAGTAGTGCATTTTATGAACACAACACTAATCTGAGGGTTTCACGATGCTTTCTCCGCCCTTCGTCTGTCACCCGCTGGAGGGAAACCGGGCGCGTGTTTTTCAAAACAAGCCAGGGCGGATCACGTGCACGGGCCAGCAAAAGCAGCAGCTCTCTGTCTGTCGCGCGCGCGCGGCTCCGGCACTCGCTCCAGGTGCGCTCATGGTTGTCCTGCGTCATTTCTCCGTGGCGTTCAGCGCCGCGATGGCTGCGGTCGGGACAGCGCTGTTTATCGCGCTCAATCTCTTCTATAAGAGACGGGTTTGGACACCGGAGTCAGAGTACTTCACGTTCCGAGAGGTCAGTATGAAGCGAAAGAAATGGTTCCTGTTTTTGTTTCATGATTCCGCTTGTCGCTCGTGACTGATAGATAGGTGGAGACTCTGTCTGGGGAACTCTTCGTTACTGTACTGGAGGCTTACTGTAGGTTTGAGTTATATGTAATTATCTCGTAACATAGATAAAAGTAATTATTTGCTGTTATCTTAATCACTCCAGAACTTAATCAAGTTCCGTTTTTTGGTAGTGTAGCTATTTTTATTTATTTATTAGCACAGGGCTTCTGCAGGTTTCACCGAGTTAAATTAGACACTTTTAAGACATTTTGAGGACCATTATGAATGAAATTTTGGACCCATAAAGGGCTAAAGGCTAAGGAATTTTTCAAATGGCCCAGATGGAAAAGATTTATTTTGCTTTATAATTTAAAAAAAAATAATAATTTAATACATTTAATAATCAAATAATATATATTTTCTAAAAAATTAAATATTTTAGATTTTATTTCTTAGCAAAACATTTATTGTGTAAAAACAAGCAAACTCTAGATCCATGCAGTTTTTTCCAACATAAACTTATATAAATAAACTTGTAATAAACAAATAAACAAATGTTTTAAAAGTTTAAAAAACTATAATAATATAAATGTATGCACAAGTATTCTCAGCAGTAAATACATGGATCACTTTTAAACAAATGTTACTGTAAGGAAAATAAATAAACCAAAATGAAAAATAAAATATTAAATAAAAAGTTTAAAGTATCCTCAGCAGTAAATACATGGAGCACTTTTAAATAAAAGTTATTGTAAGGAAAATAATTAAACCGTTATGAAAAAGAGTAAAAAAATTAAATTACATATTAAATAAAATTAAATAAAAGGTTTAACGTTTTATTGAGATTTGGTAGCTATAAATGGACAAAGGAAAATTAAGACCTGTTTAAAAAAGATTTAAGACCTACAACACAATATTTCAGTAAATTTAAGAATTTTAAGGCCTAAAATTTGGATTTTGAGATTTAAGACATTTGAAGACTTTTTAAGACCCCTCAGAAATCCTGCAGCTGTTTTGACAAAAAATAAAAGCAGTTTTAAATTTTTTAAGCACCATTTTAAGCTATTTTTTTTAACTCTACAGAACAAATACAGTAACTTACCTAATTACCCTAACCTGCCTAGTTAACCTAATTAACCTAGTCAAGCCTTCAAATGTCACTTTAAGCTGTATTGAAGTGTCTTAAAAAATATCTAGTAAAATACTATTTACTGTCATCATGGCAAAGATAAAATAAATCAGTTATTAGAAATGAGTTATTATAACTATTATGTTTAGAAATGTGTTGAAGAAAATCTTCGTTAAACAGAAATTGGGGAAAAATAAACAGGGGGGCTAATAATTCTGACTTCTACTGTATGTTAGCATGTTTCTAGTATGGATCAGCATGTTTCTGCAAGGCGGTGGATCGAGTTTTGTAGGTGGTTGCTAAGGTGTTTCTAGGATGTTCTGAGTGGTTGCTAAGGTGTTGCTAGGCGGTTGCTATGGTGTTCTGAATGGTTGCTAGGTGGTTGCTAAAGCGTTACAAGGCGGTTGCGAGGTCTTCTGAGTGGTTGCTTTGCAGTTGTTATGGTGTTCCTAGGCTTTTGCTAAGGTGTTTCTAGGCGGTTGCTAAGGTGTTTTAAGTAGTATCTAAGCTGTTGCTAACATAAATTAACATGGTTCTAGTATGTATTAGCATGTTGCTGGCATGTTTCTACCATAAATTAGCATGTTGCTAGCATGTTTCTAGCATAATCAAGTTAAGTCAAGTTATAATCAAGTCTACTTATAATCAATAAGTTGTCAGTATGGATTGTTGTTGTTATCCAATGTAAAGTTAAGAGCAGTTTTTTTCATAATGGAAGTCTATGGGACAGTTGCGGGCGCTGTAAGTGCTTACTAGGGTATGGCTAGTAAGTTGACAGGTCATCAGTGTTTAACAGATTGGTAGTCTGAGGTAAATGAGCCCAAACTTAAGTCTGTATGACAGTCTGGGGTCGTTATGACAGTCGTTATGAGGTCACAAAGTTTGGTCCAATGTTAAGTCATTGGACTTTTCCGAATTTTCCAGGTCATATTTCAGAAAACCGCAAGTCGGATCTGTTAGAAAAGATATAGCAGCTTAATTCAGAATAGTTTGGAGGGTTGGAGTTAGTTTGGTGGTTGTAGTATAAACGGTCTAGGAGGAGATGCATTCTTAAAATAGTCTAAGAAGACAGAAGAATAATAGGTTTATGTAGTATAACAGTATGTTGGGTTTCTCAAGCCACCATATAACACCAATTTAAGTTTCTTTTTAAAGCATTGGCTATACATAACTCTAAGGTCATGGAAAATTATGTTACGATTTGGATTATATATATCATATCATAAAGCTGTGTTTATCAGGGTTATAAAGGTCCCAGATGAAATCATTCCATAAACACTGATCTCAAAATAACATCCTAAAACGTTTGTAGTGGATGTTTAATATTTAGTTACGCCCGGCTGTATAATATTTCAGTCAGCAGCCAAGACATTGATCTTAACCCGCTTAATCTTGCAAGGGATGCTCAGTTTTCAAAAAAACATATGATTAATTTGGGGAAAGGCTGTGAAATTGGTCAGAAAAGTTGGAAAACACAGAAACTCAATTGTGTGTGCCATAAAGGTCAACATCTAATGTGGGATTCTCAAAGATCAAAGCCAAAGATTTTGTAATTATTATTGGTGAATCATCAGCCATAAATCTATTGACTCAAACAAGTAGAACAGAAACAGGGGTCTGCCTGTTTGTTATTACATAACTAACAACCTAATTAATGATGGCACGGCTATTTGTACATGGAATTGCATAATTAATTCCTGCAGCATGCGCTCAAATCCCTGCACCACCATCTGGATAAACAGACTCTAAATCCTTGTTGTATTTCACTCCTTCCCATGAACGTGAATGTGTGTTTTCAGGAGGAAGAGGAGCGCAGTGAGAAGCAGGTGCTTGTTCTTGGCTTGGACGGCGCTGGTAAAAGCAGTGTTTTGCAGGGTTTGAGTGGAGCGGGCTACAGGAGGGGCTGCCGACCCACTCGCGGATTCAACTTCATCAGCCTAAACACACCTGCGTGCCAGCTGGACTTCCTGGAAAGTATGGACTGGTGCCATCAGCAGTTTTTCATATTCACTAGTTTGCATACCAAGGTGAAAAACAAGTATTCTTCAGAAAAGTGTAGCAGTTATACAAAAAAAAAAAAAACATATTATACAAAATATATGGAGATTACGGTGTGTGATATTTATTGTCTATTTTAAAGGGGAATTACCAACCTACGTCACACGGGTTCAACCGTACATAGCGGTTGCAAAAAAAAAGACCGGTTGCAATAGCAAACATGTCGTGTTGTGCGGTAGGATGTCAAAATTGAAAGTCCAAAAATAGAGAACTTAAATTTTACCGTACACCACACTGCTTTTAATGCCAACCGCAGACGTCTTTGGCTAACAGCCATCATAGCTGAATGGAGTGAGGACCTAATTAAAAATGCTTGACCCTGCAGTTCTCATTTCATATCAGGTAAGTTCACGCTATGCTGAATCATACACATGACTTGATTATTGATTGATTGCAGCAATGATTTCAATGAAAAATTATTAAATTTGGATTAATTAAACTGCGGACACTGAATACTTAGATTCACAAGTTCACATACCCTGCCGTACAGGTGCAGTTCGCTGTCAGAATGCAGTTGTTTAGCTTATTGATGATTACCCGAGCCTTGTCCAGTTCCATCTTCTTACCTCGTCTTTGGCTAGGCAGAACCTCTGTTTTTAACACTACATAGTTTTGAATCTGGTAATCATGGAACATTATTTCTTGCACATGACCACAGAACAAAATTTTAGGCATTCTGAATGTTTACAAACTGGTAATTCGCCTATAGCAGGTGTGTCCAAACTCAGTCCTGGGGGCCTGTGTCCTGCATATTTTAGCTCCAACTTCCTTCAACACGCCTCCCTGGAAGTTTCTAGTATACCTTGAAAGAGCTTGATTAGCTGGTTCAATTGTGTTTAATTGGGGTTGGAATTAAAATATGCAGGACACTGGCCTTCCAGGAACTTGGGACACCAGTAGTTTGGACACCCCTGACCCATAGAGTATGCCTGACAAGACTGAGGAAGGAAAACAGAAATTAAGCAGAAATATTTGTTTTTCTTTTTCGAAGAATGTAAAATAAAAATAAAAAAAAAACTTTAAATTGATTAAAATATTTATCATATTTATTATTGAAATGAGTCCGAATCACCACTTGTCTGCAGGGTCTTAAGAAGTATTGAAAGTTGATAATCAATTTACAGAAATTTAAGGCCCTTAATGAAAATTAAAAAGTTTACAAATTTAATTAAAAGTTAAATTATATGGTAAAGTTTGAATCTGATTAGGAAATATTGGGACATAGATTGTGAAGATTGTGAAATTAGCTATGTTTCCATCCACCTATTTTTATGCTCATTTTGAATATGCGCTCTGCCACCCTGCAAAGGAAACTAATTTTGGCCGCTTGTATCCGAAAATGCGCATAAAAACATATGTGCATTACTAAGTAGGATAAACTTTTATTCGTTAAGAAAAGATGCAAATAGACTATGATGAAAAAACCTTTACTGAACAAATTCCAGTATGCAAATTAAAAAAGGTCATGTGATTTTTTTATAAGAAATCATGTAATGATAAAAATGTGTGTGCATGGATAAACCAGCAGTCTGAGCACACTGTAAACCAGGGGTGCTCAATCCTGTTCCTGGAAATCTACCTTCCTGTAGATTTCAGTTGCTGTTCAGGTCCTAATTAATTGGTTCAGGTGTGTTTGATCAGGGTGAGAGCTGTGTTTTGAAGGAAGGTAGATCTCCAGGAACAGGTTTGAGAAGCCCTGCTGTAAACCATCTGAAATTACGCCTTAACTATTTCAGAATTAGTGTGAATATATTATTAATAACCTCCAGAATCAGGAGCAGGAGAATCTGTGCTCCGCGACTGACGCCTTCAAACTCCACCACACATTCACTGCATGTTGGGATTGCCTTCTGAGCCGCAAGTCATTTAATAAATGAAGATTCAAGAGTTCACACTTAGCTGATGATTGATTATAAAGCTTCTTTGGCATGCTGTCCCGGAAGAAAGCTCTGAGCTCATAAGATTCTCGAGCCCGGGGCTCCTTCCTGTTAGCAAGGTGAGAGGGGAGTTTGAGCTCAGGTAGATCTCGAGAACTCCCCTGCTGTAGTAGCTAATGAACAGATAGTGATTGCTCTTAAGAGATAACTACTTACTTATGTCTACGGTGCCGATTTGGATTAGTCAAGTAACTTAAGTTGCATGTTTTTGGATGGTGGGAGGCAACTGGGGAACCCAGGGAAAACCCATGTGAGCAAAGGGAGAATGTGTAAACTCCGCTCAGAAACGTCGGCAGGCTTGGTAAGGACTAGAACCAGCAACGTTCTTGTTGTGAGGCAACAGTGCTAACCACTGGGCCACCGTGTCACCCATCTAAGAAAGGAGGAGGAGTAGGGGTGGAAGGGGGATTCTTCAAAACGAAGATGGCTGTCATATGGAACTTAGGGTATTTATAGCGACCTAGGAATCGTCTAAATGGTGATTCATTAATTGGATAATGCGGAACCAGCCACAAGCAATCATAAGCACGTGATTCTCTCGAAATTAGTTTAGAAATAAACTTCACAAAGACTGATGCAGCTTCTCCAAATGCAACAAATTCTGTTTTTACTGTTGATATTTTACTGTTGATATTTTTGCTTCCAGTTAATCAGGAAGTGATGATTTTATTTGCATGTCTTTAATGCGATATTCCAGTTTTGAGCATAAAGTTAATTCACATTTTTGGATGGAAACACAGCTACTGATAAACTCACGCTAGATTTGATGTCAGGCTGTTAACCCCAGAAACCCTGTTATTCCTGCTGTTCTATAGGCACCACCTGCTGGAAGAGATTTTTTTTATTCAGCATGTCTACTGTTTTAGTTTAGCGTGGATATTTTTTATGCAACATAATTTAAAAACTTTTAAAATGTTAAATTATTCAGCTAATCACTAACTGACTACACTATCGATGTTGAATCTTTGGCCCAATCCTAATTCTATTTTTGTACCCCTATTCCTTCCTCTTTCCCTTGGCTCTTGGAACAGAGTGTGAAGGGAAAGGGCTTTAAAAACACCCCTTAGAATTGGGACACCACTACAGCACCTGCACATCATCATATGTCCTAGCGATCTCTTGCTTCATATGAGATCAGACGATCGCGACTGCTGTAATGATTCCACTTGTGTAGTGGTTCTTTTTTAGTATTTATCTTCAAGAAATCACAGAAGGCAAATATAATGTGATCATAATGATCTAATGTGGAAATAAGATCGTAACTGTACTGTACATTTACACCGTGGCCATATTCATCAATGTAAACACACCAAAAACAACATTCACATAGCAGACACTGTAAAAAGCTCATTCCCAACCACTCCAGGGGTCTCAAACTCAATTCCTGGAGGGCCGAAGCCCTGCACAGTTTAGTTCCAACCGTGCTCCCACACACTTACCTTTAAGTTTCAAACAAGCCTGAAGGACTCAATTAGTTTGATCAGGTGTGTTTAATTAGAGTTGGAACTAAACTGTGCAAAGCTGCGGCCCTTTTGGAACTGAGTTTGACACCTGTGCACCTGACTTTTCTGACAGGGTATTCGAGTGTCATCGAGTGACAGAATTTTGTGGACTAATTAGGGATTATAGATAGCGAAATTTAGCGGGTTTTATTTTTGTGTTTTTTTTTTCTTTTTTAAAGCACTTCGGTAAAACACAAACGAGGTCCTGAATATAATAAAACATATTCTTGTTTGTTATAAAAATTCAGAATAATGACATAAAATACTAATTTGTGCATTTCTTTACTTCTGGGTGCAGCTATGCTGCCATTATGGCTGGTGTATTTTGAGAAATTTTCTTACCCCTTGGTTTCGAGTGTGGTCCTTAAAAATCTCTGTTCGAAGGGCTATATACCCCTTCCCCTCAGCCCTACACCTTAAAGCAGGGGTCACCAATCTCGGTCCTGAAGGGCCGGTGTCCGTGCAGGGTTTAGCTCCAGCTTGCCTCAACACACCTGCCTGGATGTTTCAAGTATACCTAGTAAGACCTTGATTAGCTTGTTCAGGTGTGTTTGATTAGGGTTGGAGCTAAAATCTGCAGGACACCGGCCCTCCAGTAACAAGAGAATTGGGAATTTGGGACACCCTTACCCTTTCATGTGAATGCGCAAAACGAGGGGTAGGGCTAAGGGGTAGAATTGTGATTGGGCCTTTGTGTGGATCATGATGAAAGGGCAATTGTTGCCTTTTAATATTAAAGGGCACCTATGATGAAAATAAATTTTTCAAAGCTGTTTGGACACATTAAGGCCCAATCCCAATTGTACACCTTATGTTTCTGGTTTCTGAAATTCTAAAACATTTAGAAATAGGTATTGCATTTGACCAATTTATGCTTTCTTACGATAAGCATTTAGCAGTTGCTAAAAGGTTTTTGCAAAACTTGGAGCAGCAGGGTTCATTCCTGAATTAATCTGCTTTTTGAATTATCATTTAAGACATCGGTTCACTGATTCCTTTAAAGATAAAGACTTGCTTATGTTCCATACTATATAGTAAGGAAGTATGTGATATTTGGAAGCATCCTTGCTAAAGGATTCTGCCATTTTGAGGGAAATTATTCAGTGAATCACTCATTTAAATAAGTAGTCACTGCAACCTGTTAGTTTTAGCTTCATAATTATTGCCAAGGTACTAGCACAAGAACAGGCTCAGTAAATATATGGATTTTTGTCAATCCGTACTTAATATGGAAACTATTTGCATGTTATTTCCATGGACATTTATCATACAGTACTTTAAGTATGTATTAATTGCAGTCTCTCAATTAAGATATGATAATACATCTTTCTGCATCATGTCATCAGTACATCACAGACATGCATTTATGCTAAACTTAAATAGGCATAAATGTAATTTCCAATGAAACTGTCATTTATTTACAAATCTGTAACTGGTGCTGGCCTGAGAGAGATGTGTTTATGTTTTAGTAAGCTGTATCTTTTCTAACTAATCAGACTTGTTTTTGCGAACAGCCCAAACAATAAAAAATCCCCTATACTTTCACAGAGAGTGTCAAAACGTTATACATCTACAGAATGTTAACCTACATTCACCCAGTAGGTACAAAGGTCTACTGTATCTGTTTAGCCATATCACTAGGAAAGTCAAGGAACTAGCTTAGTATATAAACAACATGTTAAATCATTCTAGCAACATGGTAAAACATGCTCAACAATGCTAGAAACATGCTCGCAAGGAGTTAAATGTTTACATTTTAAAGCATTGATAAAGGTGTCTGCTAAATACATAAATGTAAATGCTAAACATGTTAGCAACATAAACTATGTTAAATCATTCTAGCAACATAGTAAAACATGCTAGAAATGTGCTAGCAAAGAGTAAAATGTTAGTGGTTTAAAACACTGATAAAGAAAAGTGTAAGCAACATAAACAACATGTTAAATCATTCTGGCAACATGGTAATACATGTTAACAACATGCTAAAAATGCTAGAAAATGATAGCAATGAGTTAAATGTTAACATTTTAAAACATAGCTAAAGGAGCCTGCTAAATGCAAAACTGTAAATGCTAAATGTGTTAGCAACATAAACAATTTGTTAAATCATTCTAGCAACATAGTAAAACACGCTAACAACATGCTAAACAATGCTAGAAACGTGCTAGCAATGTTTACATTTTAAAAACATAAACAAAGGTGTCTGCTAAATGCATAAATGTAAATGCTAAACATGTTAGCAACATAAACAACATGTTAAATCATTCTAGCAACATGGTAAAACATGCTAAACAATGCTAGAAACATGCTAGCAATGAGAAAATGTTAACATTTTAAAAGATAGCTAAAGGAGCCTGCTAAATGCATAATTGTAAATGCTAATTGTGTTAGCATCATGAACAATGTTAAATCATTCTAGCAACATGGTAATACATGTTAACAACATGCTAAATAATGCTAGAAATGTGCTAGCAAGGAGTTAAATGTTTAAATTTTTAAAACATTGATAGGTGTCTGCTAAATGCATAAATGCAAATGCTAAACATGTTAGCAACATAAACAATATGTTAAATCATTCTTGCATCATGGTAAAACATGCTAACAACATGCTAACCAATGCTAGAAACTTGCTAGCAAGGTGTTTAATGTCAATGGTTTAAAACTGAATAAATGGTTCTGCTAAATGAATTATTGTAAAATGCTAAATGTGTTAGCAACATTCTAATTTGTGGTAAAAATGTGCAAACAATAGCCCCTTTCACACATACAGACCACATACAGACGGTTGTATGTGTGAACAGGTCCTTTTTGAAAATACCGGTAAATTCGTTCGGGCTATTTTCCGGAAAGAGAAGTTGTAACATTACCGGCAATTTGCCGGAATGCTGCGCTGTGTGAATACAGAAGGAAGATTCCCGTAATAAGCGTGTGCACGTCTAGAACGTGCTGACGTGAGACGCCTGCTTTAGCCAATCACAACAGTCAGACGCATTTACGTCCGCGCGGTTTGTGAGGATAAAAGCCTTTGAATATTTTTCCAGACACATTTAGCTGCTAGAAGTTAGTCAGATTACGTTTGTATGTTCTTCTTAATGCCAACTGTGTATATAATCATCGATGAGATGCTTATGATAAGCCGTTGTTTGTTTACCTTCAAGCTTTGCGTGCGCATATGAGCGCCTGCACACGCAGATAATATGAACATCTCGACATGCGAAAGTGATCCTGCGAAAGTTGTTCACAATATTGATCATCCACAGAGTTTGTAATTTAGTCAAATGTTTACAAATACAAGCGCAGCCGTTTAAAGCTCATTTGTGGTGAATGATGTCAGAATTTACCGGTATTTTGGAATGGATGTGTGAATGCTGTTTTCCGGAAAATTTCCGTAACGTCCTCGCCTGTGTGAACAGAGCTTTTTTCAATATACCGGTAAAGTCTTTCCGGAAATTTTCCAGAAATTTACCGGTATCACTGTGTGAAAGGGGCTAATGTTAGAAACAAACAGTACTATCTAGCCAAACATGCAGGTGTGTTAAGTAGCAGTCTATGAAAGTGTACACATTGAAGCACACTTATTACAGTTATATCTTTTCTACTAGCAGATATTTTTCAGGTTTGAAATACCCATCAAGTGCACTCATATGGGATATTTCAGTTTGTAGTCTTAAAGTGATAACAACAAAGAATGTTTATCAGTGTCTGTGGCAGTAATAGCATATCACACAGATTATTTTTGTTTCACTCATGTTTCCCATCAGTTGGAGGTGGTGAAGACTTGCGGATGTACTGGGCAGATTACCTAAGGAGAACAAACATCTTGGTGTATGTGGTGGACTCCTCTGATCGAAGTCGGCTTCCTCAGGCCAAAGATGAGCTCCACCGATTGCTCAAAGCAGAGACTGATCTTCCAGTTGTGGTCCTGGGAAACAAACAGGTGACCAAAAGCCTCAGTGTGGGGTTTGAACTCTGTGGAGTCGGAAAGGCTGCACATTGATTTCCTAGATCTTTAGCCACTGTGTTTTTGTTTCGTATTTAAAGGGATAGTTCACTCTATTTTGAGGAATGTTTTGACATTTGTGCTATCAAAGGGTTCCAAATACCCTGTTGACTTTATTGCAAGGATGAAAAGACATTTGGAAAAAAAAAATAACATTCAATAATTTATTATATACATGTACAGATGTTTGGGTTTTTATTGGGTATTTGTTATTAAAGTACTAGTTTATAGGTATGTAACGCTATTTGCAACACAAAATTACAACATAGTCAAAAGCTTTGTAAACATTTTGAGATTTATTTTAGCATCAGTTATGGTAAACCCAGAAGGTTTGAGCCATGATAATTATATATAATAATTAATTATATGTATGTATACAGTTTTATGCAAAAGTTTGGGCACCCCTCTGTGTATGCATAGTAATGTGCAATTTCTTTATAAGTGAAGATCAGTGAAATTACATTCGGTCTCTAGAGAAATCTATATAATGTCATGCTTTTAAGATAGAAATACATAGTGTAGCATTATTGAGATGTGTGAAATTAAATTGAAACTGAAAATAGGCTGTGCAAAAGTTTTGGGACCCTCTCTTTTGTGTGGATTTCAAAACCTGTAGTTACTTAGGCCCAATTCCAATTCTATTTTTGTACCCCTACCCTTTCCCCTTTTCCTTCCCTTTCCCCTGGGCCCTTAAAACAGAATGTGAAAGGGAAGTACAAATTTGCAGATCTTCTTACTTCCGGGTGCAGCTATTCTTTCGTTGTGGCTGGTGTATTCTGGGAAATTTTCTTACCCCTTGGTTTCAAGTGTGGTCCTGAAAAATCTTTGTTCGAAGGGATATCTACCCCTTCCCTTTAGCCCTATGCCTTCAAGCTAAAGATAATTAGGACAAGGGGAAGGGCTAAGGGGTAGAATTGGGATTGGGCCTTAATGCTGATTGATTATAACACAAAATTGATTTGACTGACTAAGGGTGCTTTCACACCTGTGAATCGATTCAGTTGTTCCGAAACAGAGATTACAATTGTTACATTGTTGCTCTTTGCTCTTGGAGCGGTTCGCTTTCACACTGTAATGTTTCTAAACGGACCAAAAGAGCTAAAACAAGTCACGTGCAAGTAAACTCTCCTCACATTGGTCAGAGTGTCAGGGTTTATTTTGCAGCGTCCCGCTAAGCTGTCAGGAGAGGTGGTGGTTTGGTGGTGATTGACAGGGTGCGCGCGGCGTGTCTGAGGAGAGACGCCGTAGGGAGGGGTGAGAAGGGTGCGCGACGATGCCTATTTGAGGACCGGGAGGGAGACGCAAGATTACAGTGAGATCATCACTCGTTTGCGGGCATCCGGAGATTCGCGAAACTTCCCGCCCTACTCATAATTCTCTCTTTATATAGCCGTAAGCCTATTACAAAAACACTGTGATATAACCGCGCTTGGATCGGATCACTTTTTCACCGCAATCGAACCGCTCCAGGGTTCGTTTCAATCACCTCATTCAAGCGATCTCGGAGCGATTACTTTGGCGTGGAACAGAGCGTGATTGCCCTGTTCACATATGCCAAACGAACCGCGCTAACTGGGCAAACGAGATACGTTCCGAAACAAAAGTGTAGGTGTGAAAGCACCCTTAGTGAATCTTAACAATCCTAACACAAGTGGAACTAATCATGAAAAAGGATATTTAAGATAGTTGATTGCTAGTTGTGCTTCTCCTTATTGTGAACCAGAAAATAGCAAAACAGGAACCTTAAAATAACTTTTCAATGACCTATTAACTAGGATAATTTACCAACATGAATTAGGAGAAAGCTATCACAAAAAGCTATCACAAAGACTTAAAGGCTCTATCTCCACAGTCAGAAATATAATAAGAAAATGGAAGGCCACAGGAACAGTTATTGTGAAGGAAAGATGTGGTAGGTCAAGAAAAATAGTTGTTTAAGGTATGCAAAGGCTCATCTGGACACACCTGAATCATTTCTGAAAAATATACTGTGGACAGAATGCCACAACCATAGGTGCTTTGGTGGAAAAAGATCACAGCATTCCAGGAGAAGAACATGATCCCTACTGTAAAATATGGTGGGGGATTCATCATGCTGTGCAGATATGTGGCAAGCACAGGTACTGGAAAGCTTGTCAGAGTTGAAGGTGGCATGGATTAAACCCAGTATCTGCAGATTCTGAAGAATAATGTTTAGTAATTAGTCAAGAGGCTGAAGTTACGGCAGGGTTTGATGTTTCAGCAGGACACTTACCTAAAGTTCTAGATCTACCAAGGAATTTATGCTCAGACATGATACAATGTTCTAGAATGGCCATTCCAGTCGCCAGACTTAAATATCATCGAAAATCCATGGATTGATTTAAAAAGGGCCTGACTGACTGGACTGGAGAACTTTTGCAAAGAAAAATGGTCCAAAATGCCTTCAGCAAAACTTCAGGGACTTATCCTTGGCTATAAAAACTGTCTACAGGCTGTTATTTCTGCAAAAGATGGCTCTACAAAAGATTGATGTCATTTTACTTTCTTGTCTTTTTTGTAATAATTTAAATTCCATTGCATCTGTTGATTAAATAAATGTTGTGTCAAAACTAAAATGTTGCCTTTTTCCTAGGGTGTAAAATAAATCCGAATGAAATTGCTTATTTGAAAGGCCAGCAGGCTATGGCTTGAAATTATTAAAATTTTCAAGGGTGTCCAAACTTCTGCATAAAACTGTATGTATTCAAGGGAAGGGTACAAATACTGAGGTTTTCACCCGCACCCACTCACAAATATACAAAAAAATAGCAAGAGAAAGAAGCATACACAGTAAGTTGACAAAAGTATATATATACTGGTATTTAAATCTGAGCAAGACTTGACGATATTAGTTGCTATACAATTATATTCCGAATTACGAAATAAAAATGATAACAATATACATTATTAACGGCACATATATGCATAAAGCAAAACTTTATTTATTAAAAGTGAAGCTGAAATGTAGCTTGGATCTTTCATTTGGCACAGATCCCATTTTATTCTATATTTGCGATGTAACATTTGGTTTCTGAACTATTACTGAAAAAATGTGTTTGGCAGCAGTAGTCTGGATAACTGGCATACACTGAAGACTTTTAGTTTGATGATAGACAGGCTGCGATTTCAAGTTAGCAATGGTATAAATGATATGTGTGTGCGTAAGGCTGTGATTGAATTTTTTTTCGTACAAAAGGAAACAGCTTAAAATACTCTGTAATTATGGCCGTACAGAAAAGAGTCCAAAGGGCACTTGCGATTGTGTATAGCCATGCTTCAAAGGTTTTTTAAGTTTGCCTACATTGAAACAAAACAGCAGTATTTCCAAATTAAAATGGGGATTTTATCATTTTTAAACGCCCCGATTTTCATTGGTTGAAGATGTCCGGTGGAACCAGAAAATATACTTTTTAAAATTGAAAACACAGTAGTAGGGGTGTTAACCTGATGTCCAGGCTAATTGTTTTCCATTTTAGTAATCCTGATCCAATGAATTGGCTCTATCACTCTCTTAGGGTTGCCAAGTCAGCGGAATTGAAATACTTTTATTCACTTGCGGCTTGTTGTTTTTTATTTCATGGGATAAAGTTTTGACATTGCATCAGTTCAATTTAGTGTAAATGATTGCATTGAAATATCTTACTCTATCAGATTTATTTTTTAATAATTATAAAAACTGTATTAGAATGATGAAACAAGAGTAAGTGCATTTATTTTGCTTATTTATTTTAACTGTATGGTAACATGTTAGCAGGGCTCTCTAGAATTGTTTGTTAAATTGTTGCTAAAGTGTTAGGACAAGTGTAGTTGTTAACTGTGAGGGTGGATTTAGGGTTGGGGTAGGTGTAGACCAGGGGTTTTCAAAGTGTGGGGCGCGCCTCCCCTGGGGGGCGCCAGAGCATGTCAGGGGAGGCGCGGGAAAAATATTATATAATAAAAATATAATTATTAAGTTTAATTATTATATTTATTTTTTGTTATATTTAAACGTTTTAATTAAACAAAGCTAAAAAAATAATACGTCAAAAATAAGAAAACCTTTTTTACCCAGAAGGTTTTGGGTTGGAGTAGATGTAGACATTAATAAATGTGAGGGTTGGGGTGTTTTTAGACATCAGTAACTGTGAGGGTTGGGATGAGTTTAGGTGTAGACGTTAATAACGGTGAGGGTTGGGGTGTTTGTAGACATCGGTAACTGTGAGGGTTGGGATTTGGGTTTAAGTAGGTATAGACATTAATAACTGTGAGGGTTGGGGTGTTTGTATACATCAGTAACTGTGAGGGTTGGGTTTTGGGTTGGAGTAGGTATAGACATAAATAACTGTAAGGGTTGGGGTGTTTATAGTCATCAGTAACTGTGAGGGTTGGGTTTTGGGTTGGAGTAGATGTAGACCAGGGGTCACCAACCCTGTTCCTGGAGAGCTACCTTCCTGCAGAATTCAGTCCCAACCCTGATCAAACACACCTGAACCAATTAATAGTACCTAAAGCAGCACTTGATAATTACAAACAGGTGTGTTTGGTCAGGGTTGCAACTGAAATGTGCAGGAAGGTAGCTCTCCAGGAACAGGGTTGGTGACCCCTGGTGTAGACGTTAATAACTGTGAGGGTTGGGGTGTTTGTAGACATCAGTAACTGTGAGGGTTGGGTTTTGGGTTGGGGTGAGTGTGGGTGTAGACGTTAATAACTGTGAGGGTTGGAGTGTTTGTAGACATCAGTAACTGTGAGGGTTGGGATGTTTATAGACATCAGTAACTGTGAGGGTTGGGTTGGAGTAGGTGTAGACGTTAATAACTGTGATGGTTGGGGTGTTTGTAGACATCAGTAACTGTGAGGATTGGGTTTTGGGTTGGAGTAGGTGTAGACGTTAATAACTGTGAGAGTTGGGGTGTTTGTAGACATCAGTACCTGTGAGAGTTGGGATTTGGGTTCGAGTAGGTATGGACATCAATAACTGTAAGGGTTGGGGTGTCTAGACACATCAGTAACTGTGAGGGTTGGGTTTTGGGTCGAAGTAGGTGTAGACGTTAATAACTGTAAGGGTTGGGGTGTTTGTAGACATCAGTAACTGTGAGGGTTGGGATTTGGGGTCGAGTAGGTATAGACATTAATAACTTTGAGGGTTGGGGTGTTTGTAGACATCAGTAACTGTGAGGGTTGGGATTTGGGGTCGAGTAGGTATAGACATTAATAACTTTGAGGGTTGGGGTGTTTATAGATATCAGTAACTGTGAGGGTTGGGGTGAGTGTAGGTATAGGGTTGGGATGTTTGTAGACTTAAGTAACTGTGAGGGTTGGGTTTTGGGTTGGGGTGAGTGTAGGTGTAGATGTCAATAACTGTGAGGGTTGTGGTGTTTGTAGACATCAGTAACTGTGAGGATTGGGTTTTGGGTTGGAGTAGGTGTAGACAATAATAACTGTGAGGGTTGGGGTGTTTGTAGACATCAGTAACTCTGAGGGTTGGGTTTAAAGTTGAGGTAGGTGTAGACATTAATAACTGTGAGGGTTGTTTAGGGTTGTGGTAGGTGTAGATGTTAATGTAATAAGTAATGTAATAATTAAAATGAATAATTCTCATTTCTAGCATCAGTTGCTATTGTGAGGATACACTCGCTTTGGGACCACTGGTTTATAGAACTAAACTGTGACACAAATTCATTGCCTGCATTCTATCTCTTCATGTAGGATAAGCCTGATGCTGTCAGTGTCCCGGAGCTGCGTGAGGCTCTTTCCTTGAGCTCAGTGGCTGATCAGAGGAAGCTCTTCCTACTGGCTGCTCAGTCGGGATCTGACGGATTAAGCAGAACCTGCAGCCTCCAAAAGATCCAGGACCTGCTTCTGAAGCTGGTGTGAAGCCAGGAGGAGTTGGCACCGATGTGCCAGAGAGGACTGGCAAAGGGATATTCAGTTCCGAGAAAAGCACTCCAAGAATCGAGCGGGAGATAAGATGTTTACGTCATGATAATGCCACTGTTGGGACTCAGAAGTTTTTTTTTTTTTTTATTAAAATGAGTCCTGTGCTCTTGATGGCATTATTGCTGCAAGTTACAATACAATGTCTCACTTGTTCTAACTTATCTATAATAGGATTATATTCAGAATTACAAAGTGTTACATTACACAATATGCTTTCTTTCTGCATGTGGAGTCATATTTCTAATAACAACGTGACATGTACTGCTGAATCACGCAAAGACACCGTTTGCTTAAAAACACACACTCTTATATATACAGTTAAAACCAGAAGTACATACACTGTATAAAAGGCACAAAACCATTTAAAAAAGTCAGATGTAAATGTGACTAAACCTCTTTTAGGTAAGTTAGGATTATCAGATTTGTTTCTGTTATGCTTAATAGCAGAATAATGAGAGATATATATTTTTGAGAAATTATTATAACTTTTCATGAAAGTCAAGTTTATATACAATAAGTTTATTATGTTTCTGAAGAAGCTCAGATGATGGTGTCAAGGTTTTGGAAGTTTCTGATCGGCTAATTTACAACATTTGAGTTAATTGGAGGCACAACTGTAGAATAGTATTTAAGGAAAACCTCAAACACACTGCTTCCTTTTGTGACAACATGGGAAAATCAACAAGCCAGAATCAACAAAAAAGCCAGATTACAGTTTGCTAAATTACACTGGGTATAAGAATAATTTTTGCAGTATGTCCTGTGGTCTGATGGAACTAAGATTGAACTGTTTGTCTATAATGACCAATGTTACATTTGGAGGACAAAGGGGAAAAATTACAAGCCTAGGAACACCATCCCAACTGTGAAGTATGGGGTGGCAGCATCATGTTGTGGCCCTATTTTGCTGCAGGAGGGACTGGTCCACTTCACAGCATAGATGTCATCATGAAGAAAGAACATTATGTAGAAATACTGAAGCAACGTCTGAAGACATCAGCCAGGAAATTAAAACTTGGCCATAAATGGGTCTTCCAAACAGACCATGACCCCAAGCATACTGCAGAATTAGTTAAAATGTGATTTAAGGACAACAGAGTGAATGTTTTGGAGTGGCCATCACAAAGCCCTGATCTCAATCCTATAGAAAATATGTGGGCAGAGTTAAAAAAGCTTGTGCGAGCAAGACAGCCTACAAATCTGACTCAGTTACACCAATTCTGTCAGGAGAAATGGGCCAAAATTCCTTCAAACTATTGTAAGAAGCTTGTGGAAGGATACCAAAAACATTTGAACAAAGTTAAACAGTTTTAAAACAAAGCTAAATAAATACCAAGGAAATGTATGTAAACTTTTGACTGTCTAGAAATTAATAGAAAATCCTCCCCCCTAAAAAATTCTCTCATTATTCTGCCATTTAGCAGATTTAATTCATTTAGGTAATCCTAACGGACCTAAAATAGTAAACATTTAGTATGATTTAAGACATTTTAAAAATAATACACATACATATTTATATATTTTGCTGGTTGTAACTAAACAAACATGCATAGCGTATGGCTCCAAATCGAGATCTTTCTCCCATTACTGGTATTATAATTGAGAATGTCTTTATTCATGACTAAAATGTGATATCAAAATGTGCATCAAAAGTATCCTCCCTAGATGCATTTAAAAAAATATCTAATGTATATTTAATTGAGCCAATTATCTACAGTTTCAATTGAAATTATTTATGTACATCATTGCAAAATATGTATTTATTACTTGTGTGCATAAACACACATACTTGAACATCTACATACACAAATTGAATAATGAATAAATAATTGGCAGATTGATTACACACACACACACACACACACACACACACACACACACACACACACACACACACACACAAGGACTTTATCTGTTCTGATTTACTATGTGGTTTATGAACAATAAGAATGTGTTTTTTGGTGAGAAAAGGACTTTCAGTGAGATTTACTAAAATCATAACACAACTATACTGTAAAACTTTTTACACATTTTCATATGTATCAAAAGCATTCTCTCCAGGTGAATTTTTAAAATGTTTATATATGCATCTTATTTATATAAAATTTAGCCAATTCCATCATATTTCAATAAAGATGACTTATTATGTACATGAAAAATAAACAGAATAATTAATAAATAATGGTTGATTGACTCATTAATATAAAAAATGTGGTTCCCTTCTGGTCTCGTCTGGTTGTTTGTTTCCGGATGCCTCCCTATACCTAGCTTCATCTCCTTTATCGATCTGGTCCATCTCCTTCATCATCGGCTGCAGTGGACTGTTCTTCTCTTATTCATTTCCTCATTTCGTCTGTGTCCTCCTTCTGTGACAGTTGTTTCAACTCATTTTAAATAAGTAGTTTGAACACTTTTTTGACTGTATTTAAGTTATACAAAGTTTAACTTAATATTTTAAATCAGTTTGATTGATGCAAGTTGAGATGACTGGAAAAGTTAATTTGATTCAGTTCAAAGATTTAAAGGGCCATGAAACCCCCTCGTTTCAGCAGGGTGTTTTCACACTTCTACTTAGGAAAAAGCCAGAAAAGTGGGCGTGTCCAGCTCTGTTTAGGGGGGAGTGTCGGTGGAATAAAAGAGGCACGGTGTGGGAGTGTCTATTTGGGCACGCGACTGTGTTTACATGGACATCTGTAGTCGAATTATTTGCCAAATTATTAAATGGTGGACTTTAACTGTCTTTCACTCAGAAAATTCATTCATGCCCCTCGCGACAAACAAGATATTTGATTCGAGGAACTGCTGTAAGCGTGTATTTTTCATGCAATGTTTGATACAGCACGGCGAATGAGAGAAAAAAAAACTCAGCATTTTCCGGAAACTTAGATGCACACGGCAGGTTGTGTCAGAAAGCCGCGCATGTTATTCTGGTCACAAAATGCGGTAAAAACCCTACACGAGGTTAAAGTTTGGTTGTGGTGCTAACATGTTTACACTCTGTGCAATAGTTTGTTCGATACGAAAAAACTGAATAAACAAAGAGCACTGGTCGCTCACTTACCAAATCTGTAGAGACAGGACAATCACCAGCAACTAGAGCCGCGTCTTTATTAAGAGGAGTCTACAAGCGAATCCGGATCTCAGCGTTTGCAGATGAGAACAGCTCTCAGGTAAACAATAATCCTCCTTAGACACATAAGTTATTGTTGTCGAGCATCGCGTACACTGTTAATCCACACGTGAGTCTGAGCTCTCACAGAGAGAAAATGAAAACAAAACTTAACTGCAGCAAACTATAAAAGCAACACTTCACGCTTGTTTTGCCAACACAACATGGCGTCTTTGCCGTAAACACTGTGACAGTAATGAATATTAATGAAGTTGCACAATAGAGCGCGCTGATTGGTTTGAACCAAGCCTTACTCATGCATTAATGCATCACACTGTAAGACGTAATAAGACACACTCTGGCACAGACGCCCAGTCTGCACGCCGGAATACAACGCTATTATGTCATGACCGTGATGCAGCTTCAAAAATTCGTTTCAAACCGGAAGTACGAATTTGCTTAAAATAACGCAAAAACAGTAGGTGTCCTAATAGTGTTTTTAGCAGTGTGGGACACATATTCGACTGTCAACAGCTCAAAAAATGTGTTTTGGTGTTTCGTGACCCTTTAAGCCAGCAAGATTCTTTTACTGTGTATGTTTGAGCTTTTTGAAAACTAATCTCTCTGGATTTTGGTGGTGAAACGAGGACAGAGTTCATTCATTCCGCCAGACTGTACAGCTGAAAGCCACTTTAAATAATTCCCATTTCATAACTCCGGTTTAGGCTTCAAATAGAGATGTGTTTTTGAAGAGGCCTTTTTTGCGTACAGCTGTGCATCTTCACTGTGAAATCAATGAGGTCTGGTTATGCAAGTGGTTTGAATTACCATCAATAAGAGCTAGTTTTATGAAGTGAGTTCATCTCACATTCAGTCTCTTGAAAAGTACTGCTCGCATGTATTGAGAGAAAATAACATTGGCTTCAATTACTTCAGCCCTGTAGCTAATTAAAAATGCATAAAAATGAAAATCCACCATGAATACATTGTAGAAAATGGCAGATTTATGATGCAATTACTGTATTTTTAATGTCAATCAGTGACTTACAGTATCTCTAGTTTATAATAATCAGAAAATAATAGTGATAGTCAAAAATTTGATTAAAAACAAAGCGCTGGATTAACTCAATTACATCTAGATTAAAATCACAACGATTAAACTCCATATTAAAATGCTCATAATCAGATTAGTTCCGTCTTTATGGATTATCTCGATTGTCAATCATTTACACAATGGACAATACATCTTTCATAGTGTCAACTCTCCCTCATTTAATTATCCTTTATAATATATGAGCAATATCACACGAGAAGCAGTGCGATATGGCTGTATATCAGCACTGGTGGGAGGCGTGTGTTGCGGCCTCATGCCTTACTGTACGTTCACACTGAAAGCGGCGAGAGAATCAAAGTAGCCGGAAGTCATTCATTTTCAATGTGTGTGAGCGGCAAGGAGCAGCGCGGTGCATCTTCAGCGGTGTGGGTGTTTAGGAGAGTTGAAGTTAAATCAACTTCATGGAAATAACCTATAAAGCGGTTCAGCGGCATCTAATTGGAATGTAGAAGTCCACCTCTAGAGAGGAGTCCAGAGAACACAGTCACTGTGAACTTTGGTTCTGACCACAGTTGATTACAGCAGTCACTGGATTTCCAATTATTTGCAATGTTTTCTTACAGGAACAGATTAAAAAAGTTACTTGGCGATGTGCATTAATGTTATATATATTGTTTTCTTTAAAAAAGCAGGAATCTCATGCGACAATACAAAACAGAATTGCTTCTTCAGGATATTTCAGACATATGGACACATTGGATTATTAAGTGGAGCAAAGCCACACCACATGTAACGTGACCTTCCATTGTTAAATGAATTTGATTAGAAGTGTGCACAGGCCCGGATTGGCTAATCGGGAGGACCGGGAGAATTCCTGGTGGGCCGGTCCACAAGGGCCGATGTCCCTAGCTGCTTGCACTCTCACTTTTTCATTTATTTATTTACTTATTTGACCATAGCCTCACTCTTTTTAT